CTAGCCATGCCTTTCTGGTGTACCAGCTACGTGAGAAGCCTCGTTGATACGTTTTGTCTTTTTCACGAGCTTGCTGCGATATATACAAATCGGGTTGGTCCGGTCCAAGGTCTTTAAGTATCAATTTATCTCCCAAACTTCTTCTTTCGAAAGGATTGGAGAGTAGCTCTTGCACGGAATTGGGTGTGGACCGAGGTCCGGCGACTCCACCTGCACACCATTCTTATCCAACTTCTGCGTCACCTTGGTCACTCACGAGTAAAAAACAATTCACGTCAACGCACGTAAGCAACGTGGGCGCCAACGTGAGCGCCCTCGTGACCAAAATATTTGACGGCGCTGATTGGCTGAAATTATGTTTCGGCGGCACAGTTTACTATTGAGACTTTTGCAACGTGCTGGTTGCTGCTGTTTGTCTCGGGGGCTCCGCCCGGTAATGATAAACTAATGCCATGGGCAAAGCCAGGCAGGAAACATGTGACTTATCAGTAACTTTAGACATCGTAACACAATTTTAAACGAGATTTTATTGTAGATTATACATTTTACTGATACCAATTGTATGATATTTACCTTGTTCATTAAAAATAAAAATATAAAATATATATATATTTTTTAATATATTTTTTTAAATATTTTTTTTTTCATTTCATATTTTTTTTAATATTTTTGTTTGTATGTGGGAAGAGGTGGGGCGGCGCCCCTAGCACCCCTATGGGCCGGCCGCCACTGTAGAGAGGCGAAGTCCCGCCCTTCTACCCCATGCCCCATGGGCATACTTGCCAAACCTCCCGATTTTCACGGGAGACTCCTGATTTCATAGCCCTCTCCCGGTTTCCTCCGGTGGTCACATTTCTCCCGCATTTCTCCCGATTGCTGACAAAATCAGATTTACTCACGACTGTTTCCACTCGGACTTTAATACAGCTATTGTTTGGTTTCCATGGTAGCTTGTCTCTAGCGCGCGCAACTGAGAGGGTGAGGAAGATTGTCACAGAAAACAGAACAAGAATCGACAACTCGACCCTCTGCTCACTCCTTTCCAGCCCACACATATGCTCCATCAAGGATGGTGTTACAGGCCGCAAGGCAGTGCACTTAGAACTAAGCATATCATCTAACAGCTCCGGCGATCCACTAGCGCGATCCCCCCTCCCCGTGGTGGTTTTGAAATGCTCCCGATTTCTGAGGTCTCAAGGTTGGCAAGTATGCCTATGGGACCTTATTTCGGAAAAATGACGTGTGTGAGACCAGAGTTGTAGTTCATTGAGCGTTTCACACATTTTTTTCTTTTTGACTTGCAAAATTATGTTTTAAATTGACAAACATCATGTGTGTAATTCGTGGCACAATTCAAACGGGATCGAAAGATAATCTTTCTCTCTCCATTGACTTCAATACATACTTTTTCCGAAATAAGGTCCCATGGAGGTCCACCGGAAAGGGAGGGACTTCGCCTCTCTATTGTACATAATAGGCTGGGGCAGGACATCTCTAAGTGGTTGACCAATCCCAACAGAGCTGGTCAGTTAACCAATCATAGCAGACTGGGCTCTGGTTTCAGACAGAGGGTGAAAAGATAAGACCTTGAATGTGCGGAAATACAAAAATGGAGATCAAAAATGTAATCTTTACCTCAAGATGTTCTGGAGCTTTTTGTCACGTGATCTTCATCAGCAGCTGCAGGTAGCCTGTTGCTATGGGAATACATAGTACATGTGTTAATAATAAAATAACCCACTGCAAAATGTAATAAAAAAATACATCGATCATTTTAAAAAAAAATGTTGATTCCTTAAGGGCACAGGTGTTTTTCATAAAATCTTCACTGCTCAGGTTGAGGTTGGCTGGGAATAAGAAGAAAAGCTAAAACTAAATCTTGTCTCGTGACATAAATGCTAACGCTAATATATCAGTGCGAGCTAATAGGGCTGACAAAATGTATTGGTAAGAATCTGCTTTATACTAAATACTGGTGAATAAGTGCAGAGCCCTAACCAGCTACTTTGGAAACATCTGCTTAAAAGTATTACTAAAATATAGATTTAGGGATTTACAGCACCTGGCAATCAAAATTCTGGATCTTGGATTATGCTGGCCTCATCAGGTCAGTGTGTGTAATTCAATGAAAACTAACAGGTATTTTTTGTCTCACCTGTGACCACCCGCTTGCGTTACACTATATTCCTCAATTGAGATATTCTAATAATATTTAATTGTTACAAAATAAAATGTATAATACAATAATGGGAATATTTCCCACTTATCTGCATATATAGGCCCAAGGTATGTTACAGGCCTAATTCAATATAACAACTCCTATTTAGGTTTAAATGTTACATGTGACTATCCTTGTGTCAACAATTCATGTGGGTTAGTTTTCTATCAAACAACACATTATACACACACACACACACACACACACACACACACACACACACACACACACACACACACACACACACACGCACACAATCTTCATCATTATAACTTCATCAACCAGCCAGAGCAAGTTTGTTTTGAGGCCCCAACACACACACACACACACACACACACACACACACACACACACACACACACACACACACACACACACACACACACACACACACACACACACACACACACACACACACACACACACACACACACACACACACACACACACACACACACACACACACACACACACACACACACACACACACACACACACACACACACACAGCTGCCTGACAGAGCTGGTGTTGGGCTCCTTACAGCCGCACCAGCTTCTTCATGCATGGCGACACACGTGTGAGTAATGATACCCAGCAGCTCTGTGAGGTTGCATAAGCATCAGCACGCTGTATAGCTGCTTTGCATTGTCTGCAGAACTCAAGCATGCACACACACTTTACAAGATGCAGCAGAAGCTAATTTTAGCACACATGCATTTTTAGTTGGTTATTAATCACACCCTTTTCACGCTTTAAAGAGGAACGAAAAGTGTTGTGAAATGTGTAGGTCCTGTAAAATACCACCACTTATATTTACATTTAACCTCAGTTTAAAACACAATAAAACAAGGTGGATTTGGCTCAGGGGGGAAATGGGTCTGTACTAATCGCTGGTTCAACACAATTGTACTGTGGGGGCCGTGCTGGGGCCAGTTGTTGAATAAGAGAGGCGCATTTGCCAAGTACCTTACATTTTAGTTCAGTAACTTACTTTACCATTAACTTAAATGCAGTTTGGGATAAACAACACAAATAGTTTTGCAGCCAAACATTGTTTTTATTGTATTTCTTAATAATGTAGGCAATTTATTTTAGTAGCCTAAGTTTCAATGTTTCAATGAGTAAAAGTTCACTATTTAACTCTGAATTATAGTGGATTAGAAGAATAAAGTGGCAACACGTGTAAATACTCGAGTACAAGTCTCTTAAAATTGTATTAAGGTTGAGTAAATCTTAGTTACTTTCCACCAGCTGGTATGTCAAAAGAATGGAAGTAAATGCTAAACAATATAAATATAGGCAACAGTCGACCTATATTCCTAAATAAAAGCAGAGCTGAGTTTCCTCCACTAAAAGGTGAACATATTATTCACTTATCCTCCCTCTCCGTGATTCACACGCGCCGACCATGATGACGGTGAGTGGAGGTGCGGGGACCTCTGACGTCAGACGAGGAGAATGACACGCTCGTCCAATGAGGGGCCGGGGATGTGCAGCGCGAGGACGGAGCCGCCGACAGAAGGCTAATAACCATGCCAACCGAGGAATATAGCGCGCGCCGCTGAAAAGGGGGGAGACCCTGGGAGAGAAAAAACACACATGCACGCATAAAGTGAAGGATAACGGACGAGAGAGCTGTTTCCTGCAGGGGGGAAGAAGAAGAAGAAGAAGAAGAAGAAAAACAAGAAGAAGCAGCTGGTAAATTCCTCTCTTGTTGTGTCTCTGTGTGGCGTGGTCTCCCCCTCTCTCCCTGCCCCCCCCCCCCCCCCTCTTAGTGACTGCACTGCTGCAGCTGAATGAAACAGATCCAGGTATTTATTGTTCTGTGTTTCGCTAAAACACGCTGAGATCTGAGCTGCAGGATGAGCAGGTGCATGGAAGCAGGGTGTCTGAAGTTGGGGAGTAACGGATTACATGTAACGGGATTACGTAATCAGGATACTAGAACAATGTATTCCCTTACCGTTACATGAAGAAGAAAAAAAGCAGGTTACGGTTACATGTTAAACAAAAAAGGGGACTAAGCAGGATTTCAATATGTTTTAAATGTAAAATGTATATATTGTGTAGGGACTGAGACGTAGGCCTACTGCTTGGTTATTCGTTTTCACTTAGGCTACTTTTAATCTTTATTTTAAATATATTTTTTCAAATGTATTAAGCAAAAACACTGTTTAATTAATATTTTAAACTGAATCAGTATACTATTCTGTATCCTACACGAGGACACGTTTCTAATCCTAAATATACATATTTTTTAACGTCACATTGTTCTGTTATTTTACATTATAAGTAAAAAAACATCCTATTCATATTTATTTTGTATTCATTTGCATCGCATTTGACATTGAGGTAGTCCAAAAGTAACGGAAAGTAATCTGGGTTATATTTTGTTAATCGGATTATATTTTTTGTTTTCATAGGTAACTAGTAATTGTAACAGATTACATTTTTAAAGTAACTCCGGTTTCTGTGGTGCTGAAGCCGGTGACCTTCCCCGGTTCGCAGTCATTGGCGGTGAAAGTGAGTGCGTGTTTGCGCGTGCACAGCACCATGAAAGAGAGATGAAAAAATAAAGGGGGCGGAGGAAGGGTGTGTGTGTGGAGGCTGAGGTGGGAGTTGTGAGAGAGAGAGAGAGAGAGAGAGAGAGAGAGAGAGAGGGGAGACATTTTTTTGTGAATGGAGCTCCATCCTCCTGGCATCTCTCGGCTCCTCGGATCTAAAATTAGCCTCGCGCTGGATTTTTTTTTTTATATATGTCTGCGTGCGACTGATCCGAATCCGAATTAAAGCAGAGTTCTTATTAATGTAAACGTAGCTCACACGCACGAGACTATAGGACAGCTCTATATACCGCGCGCGCCGTGCCCCAGGACGTCATGCACCATTTTTAGAGATGCTCTAAAAATAGAAATGTGTTGATGATGGTTCTGACTGTGAGGAAATTCACCTTCTTCAGGATCCGGCATCTTTTAGGTACGACTGCATTAGATTGAAGCTTTGGTGGCTGTTTTATTGTCAGTTGTTTGATTTAATTGTGCATGCTTTGGTCAGCAATGGGGCAAAAATGGAAGGAATATTTCAGAAATATATGGATTACTTTCCTCTCTTTGTGTGCGTGTCCACCATGGGCGGTTCTAGAGGGGGGGGGGGGGGGGGCTTGGACCCATGGTGTAAAGTAACTAAGTAGATTTACTCAAGTACTGTACTTAAGTCACATGTTGAGGTATTTGTAATTAACTTGAGCATTTTACTATTTTGTACTTCTAATCCACTCCAATTCAGAGGTAAATTGTGTACTTTTATTTAATACCTTTACAGACTTGAGTTCCACCTGAATTCACAAGCTACCCTGCAGTATACACAGTCATTCAAACTAGCTGCACCTTTACCAGCTTGTATAACACTTTCATGATCAATCATTATAAAATATATTATTCTGAGATGGAACAATCTGCACAATGACTATTTTTACTGTCGCTACTTTAAGACACAAATTCTGTTAGTAAAACAAAAACCAATAATGCTAATTTATGTCAAATCTCGTGCCGACGTGCTTCGGGTCAAGAGCATATTTGTTTTCATGAATGAATGAATGAACCGATGGATGGATGAAAAACGTATTTTTTGCCCCTCCATCTAAAAAGGGGGATACGCGTTAAAGCCTCCTTTCCTCACCTCCTTTGTTTTGTCCTCGTCTCCTATGCCGTTTTCTCCCCCTTACTCACACTATCATTACACTCTTTGTTTTGTATCCACAACCCCTTTACCGTATCTTTCTCATCCTCTCATCTACACATTTCTTTCTTTGATATCTATCAACCTTTTTCCCCTCACATTTTATTTAGAAATGTGGCATCTCTTTTGGGTCCGTCAAGCATCCTTTCATTTATCTGTATGGTCTGCTTTAAACCCCTCATCTTAGCCTTTTTCTGACCCTGCTCACTTTGACTAACTAACCCTCTCATTCTTCTTTCCCTTTTCCCTCTGGCTTTTTGTTGTGCATATTTTAACATGACCCTTTTCTGAAAATGTCCTTCTTACACATCGCCTGCAATCCCTCCTTCATTTCCCTCCTTCATTTCCCTCCTTCATTTCCCTCCTTCATTTCCCTCCTTGCTACTGTTTTTCACCTCAATTCTCTCCATCCTTTTTACATTTCTTACCACTTCTTCTCCCCTTTCACTCTCCTCTTTTCATCACCACCTTTAATACATTCCTTTAGTTGTCACCTCTGAACTCTCCTATTCTTCTTTACTCCCTTGTCTTGTATCCACTCCCCTAACCTTCCTCCTCCTTCCTCTCCCTTTCTCTCCAGCTATGATTCTCTCCCTGGCCGCAGTAGCAGCCATGAGTAGCGGTGGGGGAAGCAGCCTAAACTCCTCCTCCCCCCTCGACCCCTTCGACTCCTCCACCTCCTGGAGCCTCGTCGAGGACCCCTCAAACTCCTCCTCTGAGCCCGTGGTGAGGACCCTGACCCCTGACTTCCAGCCAGCCACCACCGCTGTCGCCATCCAGGAAGTAAACCCGTGGGACATCGCGCTGTGTGTCACCGGGACGCTCATTTCCTGCGAGAACGCTCTGGTGATCGCGGTTCTGTTCTACACGCCGACTCTCCGCGCGCCCATGTTCATTCTGATTGGTTCCCTGGCCGTGGCGGACCTCATGGCCGGTCTGGGCCTCATCTTGAACTTTGTCTTCACGTATCTGATCGACAGCTCCGTGGAGTTCGTGACGCTGCTGTCTGTCGGACTTTTAATCTCCGCTTTCTCCGCGTCCGTGTTCAACATCCTCGCCATCACGGTGGACCGCTACCTGTCGCTGTACAACGCCCTGACCTACCACACGGAGCGCACGGTCACCTTCACCTACCTGATGGTGCTCTTCATCTGGGTGTTGTGCGTGACGCTGGGTTCGCTGCCGGCTCTGGGATGGAACTGTCTCCGAGACGAATCCACGTGCAGCATCCTGCGACCCGTCACCAAAATCAACGCCGTGGCCCTCGCCGTCACCTTCCTGCTCGTCTTCGCCACGATGATGCAGCTCTACCTGCAAATCTGCAAGATCGCCTTCCGCCACGCGCAGCAGATCGCCGTGCAGCACCAGTTCGTGGGCATCTCCACCACCAAAGGGGTCTCCACGCTGTCGGCCATCTTGTGTGCCTTCGGGGCGTGCTGGCTGCCGTTCGCCATGTACTCCATCGTGGCCAACTCCAGCTACCCGGCCATATACACGTACGCCACGGTGCTCCCGGCCACCTGCTGCTCCGTCATCAACCCCATCATCTACGCTTTCAGAAACCCAGACATCCAGAAGTCGCTGTGGATGGCCTGCTGTGGGTGCTTCCCGTCCAACCTGTCCCTCAGACCCAGGACCTCCAGCGACGTGTAGCACGGGAAGGTTGGTTTTCTGTCTGGCACGATGCTTGACGCTGAGTCAGGGTAGTAGAAGATAGAGCACGAAGATGAGGAGGTTGAAGGCTGTGAGGAAGGAGATTTCCTCGACTCTTCATATCAGGGCGAAACGCACGGCTGGCCACGGTAAAAGTGTCACGGGAAGAAGGGTGCGTGGTCAAAAAAAAAAGATAGAGCTAACACAGATCATGTCGAGTGACGAAGGTGGCGTGAAACCAACTGCAAAAGCCTGTTAAAGGTATCCTCTTGGTGGCGTCAGGTGACTTTTTCCACTGACCTCTTTCGGTTGAGGCCTACTTATTAAAAAAGTAGCATATATGTGACGGCAGAATTTAGGCAGAAATGTCCTCAAATCTCCACAGGACCTGAGCTTTTTGGAGCACTGCATGGTTATGCAACCAGAAGGTGTGAAACAGTCTTAAAATACTCTATGTGTTTTCACTGATGTGTTTGAAATTAAGTGGATAAAAATACAACGAGCTAAATATACACAACGAATGACCTTGAGTTTTCTCAATGAGCTATCTTTGCCGTCTAGAATATTTCCTCCCCTGAAACATATTTTAACATCGGTGTCCTTGAGCGGATGCAGATTAAAGTAATCAGTGAGTGTATTCACAGATAATGATGTGGTATTATGTGATATTGAAATTAGATGGTGTCCGTGATCATTAGCATTGCTGCCAAGCCCATTTTGACTTTTCCCAATGCCAACAGCACCGTCTGCATTTTGTCAAAGCCACAAACACATCTGAGGTATTCTAACACAGCCTCTCAGAAGAAATCCACTCCTAACATGCAGAGAAAACCGCGGTAGTTTGCTCAAACCTAGAGAGGGATTTCCACATTTAGCCCCGCCGCGTGTTGTCCTTGGTGTGATGAAACCAAATCTGCTCCCCGTCTGAGAAAACAAAACGTGTTTCTCAGCCAGCCGCTGCCTAACTGAAGCAGAGAGAGCACCAAGGACAGCGCCACTGCAGAGCGCTGCTACCCTGGGAAATGCTTTCTGCTGCGGGGGGGGAAGAGCGCTGGAAAGTAGGCTACAATGTTCTCTACAACATCTTGAATGTGAGACGGGCGTTTAAAAAGGGCCTTTCCAGCTTTAAAAGAGCGGGATTGCAACACATTCAGTGTCAACGAATGTTTATTTCTTGCATACATGATGCTTAAATGTGCTTTTAGGATCATTCGCCTCATGCAAGATGTGTTCCAAACTATGGGAAATCATCCACTATAGCACGACTATGACCCTGTCCTTTCTACCCTTCACCGTTCCTGGCCTCTCTTGTATCTCAGCAGCAGAAATTATACATGAGAAAAGCAATGTATGGCCCCATGAGTGCCAGTAAAGCAAGCCTTCTGACATGGGCAAGGTGAAAGCAGCTGTAGTTTTTCAGAGGCGAAGGGGGGGGGGGGGGGGGGGGGGGGGGGGTCTGTGTTTATCTGCATCCGCATAACGCCTTTAGAGACAGCAGCCTAACTTCATTGCCCAATTGATTATCCATTAGCTAGAGCCGAGCACGATCCATATCAATATTTCATCTAAGCTGCCCTGTCTGGCTACGGTACTTTTCAAGATGGACTTGCCATAGGTCTGCAAAAAAACTATTTTTACGTTTGCTATGACAAGTCTGTATGAACATGTACACAACAACTAAGCTAGTGCTGTTAAGCACGAGCCTCAGATGGTCTAAATTCTCTCTACGCCTTCCATTTTCACTTGCAACCTGTCAGCAGTTGCTGGATATTGGCTGCACACACACATAAACACACACACACACACCCCTCTGAGGGCTCGGCGGGTTAATGAGAAGCGAGGGAGACGAGGTGACGCGGCGTGAAATAGAAACGCCAGGCGAGACACACCTTAACGTAACCCCAACACACCCAATCAGGAGGAAGTCATTTCCCACTGAAAAGGGCATCATGTAAGTTGAATCCAGCTAATGTTAATAAGGTCTCGGTAATAATGGCGCCGGGAATTGGCCCCCGTGTACAGAGAGGGGATTTATTTCCAACCTTGATCTGCATTTAAATGATCCACAGAAGTAGTTCTCACTCCTCTACTCACTAAGCTTTAGCATGCTGCTAATGAACACACGTGGGAGGTGCACTGGCTTTGGGAAAACACTTCGTAGAAAGTTTTAAACTCACCACAGGGAGTCACTTCCAAACTCAACGCTTTCTACCAAATAAACCACAACGATAGACGATAGAGAACACACTCTGAAAATGGCGCTCAGGAGACGCAGGATCTTTTTCTAATAGTGTACAATGAGACTTAGAGTAGAAGTGTTTTTATATTTTTCTTGGCAGCAGCAAACAATCAGTTGTTTTTACAGCAGTTGTTAGCAGAGCAACAGCTACACTCGTCTGTCGATGACTTTGTTTGAGAAAAGGCAGATTCTCTCGTGTCTTTTTTTGTGTTTTTTGGGCCTTATTGGAACAAAAAGTCCTTCGCAATAACGTCCAAATGTGTTTTGCTGTGTACAAAAAGCCACAATGGAGAAAAAGAGAGGATGATCGAGAGAGGTGGTCGGCACTGGGGGGTTTTAAGTCAAGAGCACATTGTACTTTATTTGATGGGAAATATTAGTTTGCTGGCTGAAAATACATGTTCAGTAAGAAAAGCAACTCATTAAACCCAATGTCGCAGTTGTTTCACGAGTGTAAGATATATCAAATGTTATATCAGTGTAAAACCAAGAATATTTAAAGGTCACAGATGTCAAACGAGTCGACCACCTTCCTCTACCACTCTCTCTTTTTGCTCAATCCCTGCATTGAAGGAACTGCCTCACTGTAAAAGACTTGCATCACATGTTAAGTGAAATTCTTTTTGATTTCTCTGAAGCTGAAAGATGGAGGAGTTCTTTTGGCTAGCTTGGCGAAAGAGAGATTATGAAATGTAGTCCACGTAGCATTGTGATGCAGATCTTACTGGCACACAGTTGTCTGGAGGCACAACGATGTGTGAGACGTAGTCACCTGAGTTTGGAGACGCTAGATGGGACGCGGATTATATTTACCGAGGGGTTATGAGATAATGGCGAAACTGAGTTAGCTAGTAGGGCTGCTCAATTAATCGTATTGTAATCGCGATTACGATTTTGGCTTGCAACGATTACGAAAACAACGTAATCGAAATAAAACGATTATTTTTTTATTATTATTATGACTTTTTTTTTTTTTTTTTTTTTAAATACTTTTTTTTTTTCAGTTGAATTATACTTATCGTTCAGGGTAATCAACTGTTAAAAACATACTGTTCAAATAGTTTTTCTCCAATAAATGGATGTTTTTAAAGTCAATGAATAATCGCATTTAATAATCGCAATTACAATTATTGACCCAAATAATCGAGATTATGAATTTTGCCATAATCGAGCAGCCCTACTAGCTAGGCTGATGCTAATGCTAACATACTGGATGTAGATTTCTACTATATTAAGGGTTAAAAAAACGAATTTGATCGAAGTCTGAAGGGAATCATGAACCCATAAGTAAAACCACAGATCAGCCATCAGCGTGCTCTGATTGGAAGTTTAAATCCAGCATTGCTCAGCAGGAAGAGTCTGAACAGCTGATCTGAAGTCAGTTATCTCCCCCCTCTGTATTTTTAACATCGTGTCTGACGGTCCCATCTGGCGTGTCCACTCAGTGATGGTTTTAAGAAAGATAACACTCATCTGTGAATATGCCACCCAGTCAACCCTTCCTGGGGCAGGAGTGGAGCGACCACTCACTGTGTGTGTGTGTGTGTGTGTGTGTGTGTGTGTGTGTTCTCCCCCCGGGATCATAGCCAATTGTAATGAACCATATATCAACCAACTCTCACTGTAAACACACACAGAATGGTTTAGTCAGCCGCTATACAGGACTATAATTCAACTTAAAAGATGAAAAACATACTGTACAAGTGTGTGTGTGTATGTGTGTGTTATTTTTCTTATGCAATGCTGTACAGAAATGTATATTTTTGTAATGTTCATCAGGGCATGAGTTACGAACATGTTGTGAGTGTGTCTGTGTGTGTGTGTTCTTCCTATTCTTCTGTGTTCTTCCTATAAACAAATGTCAAAAGTTTCTTTGGGGGGGGGGGGGAAATAAGTCGTGTGTCGGATATGCTGAAAAAGTGCCATATTTTTCGACTTTCTAGTGTCTTATTTGTTTTTGTGTACATACACGTTTATCAGAGATGTGAGTCTGAAGTCGCTAGAGTCAGAAAATCTGTAAACAAGAAAAAAAAAACTTGACCTTGATGTTATTGATCACTGCACTGTACGGAGCAAAGGAAGAAGACCAATTTCGCCAAACTAAACAAAAATTCTCTGTAATATCAGACAGATCAGTGTTTCTGTAAAAATGTCTTCTTGACTTGCAGTTTTTCCATAACACACACCCAGAGAGGCACAGAGGGGGGGGGGGGGGGGGGGCGTTGTACGTCACAGATTCAGGTTTCCAGTGACGTCATTTTGTCTGAGTCGTGTCTAAGAGGAGCAGGTCGTTTCAAAGACATCCCCCTCTCTTCCTCCTTTCACAATCCTCCCACTTATCACCCTTTTACAAGTCCCTCGTCTTCTCTTCATTCTTTCAACCTTTTGCAAACACATGTCTTTACCTTTACTTATCTATCATGCCAATTCTGTTTTTCCTCCATCTGTTTATACCACACTAGCCACCTTCATTTTTCGTCTCTCTTTTCCTCTCTACTCTTCCAAATTTTGCTATCCTCGGCCTGCAGGAAGCCAGTCGGTCAGGCTAAAAATAGTTACCCCGAGAGGAGCAGATAAAACGAGCGAAAATGAAACAGCGGAGATAAAAGACAAGGAAAAAGAAGAGGGGAGGTGGTAAAGGGGTAGACATCGACACTCCCTTCACTTTGCTCGATAGACAAAAACATTCACTTCATCCACATCCCCTGTTTAGTTATCCCTCTTCTTTGCACAAGCACACTTTCTATTGTTACTCTCCTTCTCCATCCCTTTGAGTCTCTCTTTTTCTTGTTCCTCCTGAGCACAAACAGTAACACAAGGGTTTTAAAAGCAGGGATCGGGGCGAGTGTCTACAGCGAGTTAGCACGGCTAGGCTAGCGTTTTCCCTCTGTAAGCTACAACCTGGCAACACTTCAGGCAAGCAGAGATTGTCAATCAGAAAAACCATTACAGAGCTAATTTTCTATTGGACCGAGTATGGCCTTCATAGAAAAAAACACCTTGTTTTATGCATTGATATTGTTGGTCAGGGAGAGGAAGCAGCATCACTGGTTTTAAATCCTCAAGGCGAGGGTGTTCTGGGTAATGACACTGTGATTCGGTGTCCTTGAATCAAGTTTTTAACATTTATTTGTAATGTATTTATTTTGTTCCTCTTGTCGTGAAACAGTCGGTTACGATTAAAAGTACAAATGCACTTTATAAGATGGACATGTTACACATTGCACTTGTAAATGTCGAATGTAAAACCTTGAAGAGAAAGATTTATTTTTTACTATTGTACATAAATGAGAACAGACAACAATAAAAAAAAGACTGCAAAAAATAAAAATAGTGGAAAACAATTTGCCAAATAAACTGAAAACAACAAAAAGAAGAAAGTTGGTGTTTTTTCTGAGTGCTGGAATGGAGTCCATGACGTCAGTGTGTGTGTGTGTGTGTGTGTGTGTGTGTGTGTGTGTGGGAGATTGCGTGACATTGAGTGTAGGTGTTTTTTTACGAGTGTGTGTGTGTGTGTGTGGGGGGGGGATTGTGAGTCAATATCGCAGGTCACTGTAGTGTTAAGGAAAGCCTGCGAGTATAAAAAGACGCCGCTGAATTATTAAACCACTCCCTGCTTGTATAACAGCAGAACAGACACACGACACACACACACACACACACACACACACACACACACACACACACACACACACACACACACACACACACACACACACACACACACACACACACACACACACACACACACACACACACACACACACACACACACACACACACACACACACACACACACACACACACACACACACGACATTCACATACAGGAAAAAGTCCAGAGGGAGAGAGACGAAAAGGAAAGGTGTAAAAAATGTCTGAGGGAAGATGGATGGTTTGTGTTGGCGTGATGTTTCTCCAGGGACAGGTTGTCTTTTCCCAAGAAACACACACATTTGTTATCCAAGTGCAGTCATGTGTGCTTCAGTGTGTGTGTGTGTGTGTGTGGGGGGGGGGGGGGGGGGTACATGGACATTAAAGCTTCTTAATAAATAATTGACAATGCAACAGGAGTTTTTAGTCATGCACATATGACGGAGGTGAGTGAATGTGAAGGGAATTTAACCTTTAAATCAATCAAATCTGCTTGTGTGTGTCGATGAAAGTGTGAACCACACGAGCGCGAGGCTGCGTGAGCGTGTGTGTGTTCGACTCCTTGACTCAAGGAGGGGACCACATGCAGGGAAAGAGCTCCACCATGTGGACAGAGGTAAGTACTGCTAAGACGAGGGGAAAAGACGCAGCACACACACACACACACACACACACACACACACACACACACACACACACACACACACACACACACACACACACACACACACACACACACACACACACACACACACACACACACACACACACACACACACACACACACACACACGTGCATTTTACGACCGGCCCACTTCGGCAGGCTACCGGACGTCCCATGTCCAACATGGAGCAAAGTCAAGGACCCCAAGTAAGTTTTTTATTTTAATGGTACTATTAATTACAAATTAATTTGGTAGTCATATTTGCGGCACATCTCTGATAATAATTGGCTTTCAAGAGTTGTACCGTTACGTGAACACTGTTGCTAGTCAACTGACAACATGTGTTTCTTTTTTTATTATTTCATTGTTTAGGAATAGGGAAATATACAGTTTTTTTCATATCATTTTTAATGTAAGGTCATATGTTGCCCTCACTACATTTGGTTCAGAGAAATGCACAATAAATTGTGTAACATGAACAACTGTGCCTATATTTATTGCCTTTTCCTACAGAACCTGCTTAGACATCATATCTTGGAGAGATTGCAAAGCAAGATGCAATACGTGGTCAGCCGTACTGACGTCGACCTCGACTATCTTGATTTCATGTGCATCAATTAATACTCATTGACACATTGGCAGAGCAGATATAATTGCCAGTGAATATAGTATAGCCCTTAGAGAACTGTGTAACCTGGTTAGAGGTCAGGTGAAAAATGAGCAACATATTCCATCTGTTGAGATACAGGCAGTGCAAGGGGCAAGGGGGCGACCCAAATTCGTCATTCAACAGGACAAGTTACAGGTCTTGATAGACACCCAGTTACCTTGCGTAGCCAAACTGATGGGAGTCAGTGAAGTTACAGTATTCCATCGAATGGCGGAATTTGGAATTTCTGTGTCAGGGTCCTACATACAATGCCAGACCAGGAGCTTGACATGTCTGAGATCAAAGCTCAGATGCACACAAGGTACACACAGCCATAATAACTTTGAATTATTAGTGTAGGACACTTGTGTATGTATAACATCGGAAGATGTGTAGTTTTATTCATGTTTTCACATAATTGTACAGGATATTGCTATATTATTTCACATGTTTAACTTCTAATATCTGATTTGTAAATAATCACAGACAGAAAGGTATACCGTCATTTAATGGTAAGCTATTGACATTCTTAATCCATAGATGTGTCTCCCATCACCCAAAACCCCTGACTATTCTTTCAACTCAGTATTTACATTCTTATATTCAAAGAAAATCAGTAATATCGTTAAAAACTACAAGTCCCTGTCTATCGGCTATGCACTGCTACCTATCTACCAATTGGATCAAATATAAAAGTCAACCAAACTAGTATTGATACTGCAAGGAGACGTACTGTGTGAAGAGAAATTGCAGATGTTGTTTAATTGCTGATATATTTATGATCCACGTCACGTATTCAGTTTCCGGTGTAGTTCTTGTTTGTCCAGAAGTCTTCTAATCAGGGCTCTATAAATAGAGAACTACGGCAGATATGTAATATTTAATGCAATCAAATTGTGTATTACAATGCTGTTATGTGATGACTTTCAAAGAGAAAAGAAAGCACACTCGGAATAAAGTATTATTATTATTTAAAAAAAAAATGTTTTTCGGATTTCATATCGCATAAACACCAAATCCCAACGTGCATTGCAGCTAAACAATCCAATCACTGAGCTTCTAGCTGAGGATCTTGGGTAATCAGTTCAGTGGGATGTGTGTATCGCAATGATGCTCGAAATGTCCCTTATAGGCCTACGTCTGTTTCCGGTGACTTTATTTTGAAATTCAGTTCCTGAGGAACGGCTAAAAAGTCAGAGATGATAGAATTAAACGAATAAATAAAAACAAGGATAATTGTGTGTTATTGTTGAGTAAATAACAGTGTGTTATTTAGAAAAGAATAACACATTAGAAGGAAAACAAGATTTTAAAAAAGACAGATTTCAGTATTCTGAGGCTCTGAGCCCCATTTCTTTTCCTCACTGACGGCAAAAAAAGTCCGACATTATACGATTTAAAATATAAACAATAATCGTGGCTTGATATTGAGTAAGAATATGTTTTTATGAACCACACAGCTTCCGGTCTCCCAAGACCCGACCGGACAAAAATACGTGCTGCAGGCACGAAACATAGCTACTACTAATAAAATACATTGCTTTTAAAATCGTTCTGTGTGACACGAAAAAAAGGGGGAAATCGTGTTGGTGAACACGAATCAATAGATTAAATGTCGTGACTATAACACGAAATGCCGTGAGACTGGGTTGAAATGGCAAACACACACAGCTAGCTGCAGACTAGCTGGTGAGCATTTAGCAGCTAAAGAGCCAGATATTTCCCTCAGGAGTTGGTAGAGAGCAGAAACAGCGCTAAAAAGAGAGTAGGACACCAGGTGGACAGAAAAATGATCAACTTAAAAAGGTGATATGCCAGTTATTTTCTGCTGCCCCCAAGTTGGCGAATTGCAGGTTTAAAGGAGACCTATCATGCTATATTTGAATATTATATTGTAGGGCCATACCTAGGGGTGGGCTATATTGAAAAATATAATATCACGATATTTTTCAAGCAGTATCACGATAGACGATATTTATCACGATATTTTTTCATGTTGGTTATTATGGTTATTTTTCAATTTACTTAACAGTACAACCACCTACAAGGTAACAAAATAAAAAGGAGTAACAGACCAAAATACCATTTCAAGCTGGTTTTAATTCTGCAATGATCCCTGAATGAACAATTCAACAGGAATTTTGATATGGCTTCCTCAGTCTTCAAGTAGGTAGGCCTACACCCTACACAACAAAAGTTAACACTGGTTTATTCACCAAGTAGCCAGGGTTAGGGTTACAAAAAAAAAAAATGTCATCAGTGGAAGCCGTGGCACTGTAAAAAGCACGACCAATCATCTGAGCCGGCTAAAGTAACTGGATGGCCTACCTGCCTGTCAGCCTTCCATCTGTGCACAAACTTATCTTGTGCCCTCATTGGTCATGTGCACGTTCGTGTGTGTTGGAGGAGGGGCTCTGTAAGGAAGTGGCAGTTTTTCCTCCAGCTGTGTATTTTCTAATTCTAGCGCACTCGAGCTGGTTTCTCCAAAATGACCTACCCCACCTTTAAGGTCAGAACTTTAAATTTGAGCTAAATACATGAAATGGGTCAATCCCTTCATTAAAGCTCCTGAAAATTGGCTTAAAATCTTCAACTTTTCTCATTTAAAAAAAAACATTCATGATTAAACAAGGCCTTTTTTATTCAAGTTGTGACAAATATATAATCCCATGTATTTTCTTTTAACAACTGCGACTGATAGTCACCAAAACGGTCATTTTGCTTCTCAAATGCTCAGTATCGCAATACAGTACATTTGAAAGAGTCATCTCAACTATGTCCACATTTGTGCGTAGTTTCAAAAACCTTTGTTGTATATTATTGCTATCACAGTTTGTGTGGATTACAACGATGATTGTTCAACACAAGCGAGAAAATACAGAATTCATTTGTATGGCAAATCAACCTAAAATACAAAATCAAAACAAAGAAATGTCATTAACTGTTGAAAAAAGACAGGATAACAGTTTTGTTCACCATTTATTGTCTATAGTTACATGCATACTTGCTTACAGTTGGTTTTAGTGTGCAATACAGTTTCATTTTGTTCCATTGTCTATGTTATATTACCCCAAATGGATTTTTTTTTTACTTTCCAGGCTGCTTCGCCAAAAAGTCTATTCAACATGATTTCATTTGTCACATTTTCAACACATAATGGAGTATTCCCACAAGCCAGTCGCCATAGATACGAGAGGTTGATTTAAAACTCGGGCAAAGTTTAGACTGATTTGGTTGGCAGGTATTTCCAATTATAGAAAAAAAGAGCTAGTGTTTTAAGGTTTTTAGTCTTTATATTTGAAGGATATAAAGAGACCAATAAGTGCTTCATTGCTCGGGCAGAGGAAGTTGTATCCATGACTCTTGCTTCACATCTTGGGTACATTTGGCCCATGTGCTTTTACGCTTGAATAATAATACCCATAAATACTTGACCAAACAATCAGGGAGAACCACCATCAACAACACGTCCATCAAATGTCCAGTTTTTAAGCCAGTTTGAGTTCTTCGACAGCGAGACGTTCTGTAACGAGCATGTATTTATATACACAACAACAAATATTAACTTCTTTACTAAAACAAACCTGGAAAAGCCCCGATCCCACCGACCAAATATGCTGTCAGTGTCTGGATTCATGTTGGACGCCTCTGATTGGTTTAGCTACTTTTCTATTTGGTGCCTTAAAGGTCAAAAGATATCCTTCGTTTCAGGTTAAAATCGTGCCAAACTTTTAACAGCAATTTCCCTGCCTCTATTTTTCAATGTGAGACAGGAAGTAACTACACATTTTACTGTAGTTATTTAGCTGTTTTTGAGTTTAAGTGCTTATATTTATGTATAATTAAGCTTTTTAGAAGGACTTGCTTCTCACAATTGCCCAGATTATCATAAAAGGACAAATAGAAACTATATCTTAAATTATATAAATAGAAACAGTTTGAGAGGACATTTAAAAAGAGGCAATTGTGTCTCATGGTTCAAGAAAACCCCAAATGCTTCATTGCCAAACAATACATTACAAATCTATCACTTCTGGATAGGAACATTTAAAATAATGTAATATTAAGAAGTGCGCAAATCTAGCATAAAATGATGTTTTAATCCTGTTTTTTTTAGGGATTTTAAGGCTCGAGAATAGATTAAAAGCAGTATCCGGTAGGAAATGCTTCTCTGATTTGCGTTTAATAGTTTTTTCGTGTACCTCGACTACAGCCTGGAGTAGAAAAAACCCCAAAAAAGAAACCAAAGTGAACAACTCACTGCAGCACATTGTCAAACGAAAAACCACGTTATATAAAAACACTACAGTCCAATCAGCTCATACGGAGGATTAGCCAAACCTATACTGAAAAGAGAATAGATAATATATTACTGTTGCAAGTCTCTTACACTTAGTATTTATAGTCTGCGTTCACAAAGTGAGCGGGGGTCGTATGGAGGCGTGACCTTTGACCCCAGCTCAGGATGACAAAGCTTTGTGAGGGCGACTCCGGTGTGTGGTTAACGTGTGGAAGCGTTTATATATAAAGACCAATACCACAGCACACTGTCACTGCCTGAAATGTCATGAGTGGTACAAATAATACGAATGGCGTAAACTCGCTCGCTTTGTTGTTCGATGGAAGATGAATGAGATTCAACAAAAGCTGGTGGCGCTGGTTTCCCAAAAAAAAACATGAACTTTTCAGCTATTACACAATAAGGGAACTACTGTACTGTATGTCACAATGATTAAGGTTTTAGGGATCACACTGACTTTATGAGAGATTGGCTTTTTAATCGCTTTACCAGAAATAAAACAAGATAAACATTATCCCATATTTCTATATTGTGCATGTCATGTTATTATAAATTCAGATCATTGAGTTTTAAATATAACGCTAATCACGATGGGAATGAGTTACAAAAAGGTACATTTTCTCAAGATTTTAAATTCGACTTTTTCCCTAATATTATATATTATTTGATTTCCTGTGCACCAGTCTTGAAAAAGACATCTTGGTCCTTGTGGACTGCCTGTTTAAAATGTATACATTAGGACGTAAACACACAATAAACAAGCCATAAAAAAACCACAAACAATATTTGTGACGAAGATGGCTTCGTCACTGTGGACTGACGGCTTCGGGCTTTGTATATTGCACATGTGTTTTATTTTGAAAAGTGTTCCCTTTCCCCATGTCTGTTGCTGTTGATTGTGTGCACCTGGTGCCCTGTGTTGTGTCCTCCCCCCTCACCTGTGTCTTGTTGGGTTCATTAGTGTGGGTACTTAGGCTCTGTGTTCCCTGTTTGTTTGGGGTGTGAGATCCTTGTGACTGTGCTCACGTGAACAGCGAGATTGAGGCTGTGTCATGTTCCTGACTTAATAAATGCCCACACCGGGTTGTATTTTGGACGTTCTGCCTCTGCCTCCTTGCTTGGTCGGGCCGCTCAACGGTCAGCTTCACAATATTGTAAACAGACTTGTTGCCCAGCTACCAAAATTGAATACGCAAGGTCTGGAGATTGCACCTAAATTATTAATGTTTTCTGATGCAGTTTGAGGTTTGTGTAAATAAACAAGTCTGTGTTTTAAATGTATAAGGAACTCCAAATGTGATTACATTTCATTGAAGTTAACCTGTGAATAAAACATACAGATTGGACCTTTGAGCGATTAACGAGAGTGTGTAAACGTACCCGGTAATAAACCTGATTCTGAATGTTTATTTTTCTCTCTTTATATTAATTGTATTCCTTGTCTTTCTTACTGTAAATTCATTTATATGAACATATTATGAACAATTTAGAGTCAAATCAAGAGCCAACAGTGTTTGGCTGATGGCTAACCTGTATTTTAACAATAAATAATAAAAACATGTCATGATGGAGATAGTTAAAGCTACACGCTCAACCCACATAGCAGCGTTTATTACAAAAAGAAGATTTAGGCGCCGATTCATCATCTCAAGTTGGTTAAAACGATCAAAAAGCCAAACGTCATTGTTTCCTCTTAAAGAGTGCGTATGTTTCGTACCCTTCTATTCTTTCCCTGATTTTCCCGCCACAAATTCCTTCTTCTCAGCATTTGGCAGATAAGTTAAGATTGCACTATAATTCGTTTTGCTTGTGCTATACCATGTGCTTTGTAAACACAGCGCCCCCCCCCTCCTCACTGGGGGGCCCTCCTTCACATAATACAGGCTCACAACCTGGAATACTTTTAATAATTACCACTCGAATACGTAGCGAGGGAGAGGATTGTTTGTCACGGCTGAGTGTTAGTGGTTAGAAATGAGTGGGGTGGGGGGGGAGGCAGAATATACGTCTTCAACCTGTTGCTGTAAGAATGTATGATTGAATGTTGATGATGAACAATCACCAAACCCCCGTCATTACCACCTCAGTGTCTCAATGTTTCACCCCCATTTTTACTCCCAGTGATCCCCCCCCCCTCCGTCTCCCTTTATTCAAAACTTTATTAGTCAGACCACTCGTTCTCGTCGAGCTCGGAGTCGTCGTCGGACTCGCTGTACTCCACGGCGATGCGGCGCGACAAGATGGTCGCCACGTCGTTTCCGACCGGCTCCCTCTTGGCCTCCTGCTCTCGCTGCTCCTGCACCTTCCTCAGCTGGATGCCTGGGGGGGGGGGGGGGTGGGGGTTTGAAGTGTTAAATCTGAACTTCTCCTTGACCTTTGACCTTAATTATTATGTATTTATTTCAACAAGGACCATGCAACCAAATACATTAATCTCTTGAACACTCATAAAATAGGTAATTCATATATAAAAATAGTTCTAGTTTAAAAATAGTGATTTAACATGTCTAATACTTAAAAAGGTCTAGCAGCAACATATTCATTAAGTATTAAATCCGAACTTCTCCTTGACCTTGTAATGGAAATGATGATTATGAGAAAATGGAATGCTATGATGTTATATTTAACATATAAATAATACCATTTTGTAAGCCTTACATGTCGAGAGACAGTAGGTCTCAGCACTCAGGAAGGTGATCAGTCACAAGGTGTCATGTGACCACACAGTGATCTGATCATTGGTCTGAACATGGGTCTACTGTACTCTGATAGGGTCATGGGTCAGTTATCTCATGACTAAGCATGTATATATTGTAACTGCATAAAAGCTCTCTTCAGTTTGAGTACTTGCACTTGGCTGTGGAGACATCTTGAACACCCTAACTCTTTAACCTTGAACACCCTAACTCTTTAACCTTGAACACCCTAACTCTTGAACACCCTAACTCTTTGACCTTGAACACCCTCTTGAACACCCTTACTCTTTGACCTTGAACCCCCTAACTCTTTGACCTTGAACACCCTCTTGAACCCCCCCTCTCACCTCTACGGATGGCAGCCAGCAGGTCTGAGCGGGCGTCGCTCATCGGGATCATCCCCAGCAAGGCGGTGGCCTTCCTGGCCGCGTCCCCCGATGACGGGTGAGCGTGGTACCCGGTCGGGACCCCTGGTGGGGGGGGAGGGGGGGCGGCCGGGGGGGCGCCCGAGGGGGGGTGGGAGGGGGAGGGCACGTAGTTGGCCGGGGGAGGAGGAGGGGAGGGGGAGTAAGGGCGGGACAGGGTGGAGGAGGAGGGGGGGACGGCAGAGGGAGGAACAGCCGCCGCAGAGTCGAAGGCCGTCTGAGCCGAGGGGATGGTGAGGGGGGGAGGGGGAGGGGCCGGGGGGATGTAGTACTCTGGGATGGTGGAGGGCTGACCACTGTAGGGGGGGAGAGAGAGAAGAAGAAACAGGTATGAGGTGATTAACCCTTTATAGGGCACTATTAGGTTAACCCTAACCCGTTTCAGGCCTCTGCTGATTGGTCAAATTCCCCAATGGCGCGCTCTGTGGTGTAGAGTGATCTTCGCTGATTGGCTGGGAGAAAACCACATGCTTCTCGACCTCACTGAGTCGCGGGGGGGACGCCATGTTTGGTGTGTGCGGAAGTTACCAAATATGGTTCCTCGCTCGTTAAAGGGTGGATAAAATATGTATTATTAATATGTGTATGTATATATATGTATATATATATATATATATATATATATATATATATATATATATATATATATATATATATATAAATATGTATATATATATATTTATATATAATATGTGTATATTACATATTATGTATGTATAATACATTTTTAAAAAGGGTGGTTAAATGTGGATATAAGGGGATAATGGTGACAGAATGGGCAACTAAGGCAAAAAACATCAACATATGAATAGGAACTCTTAAAAAGTAAGGGCCCTTAAAAAAGGAATTTGATATCTGGGTCCCCTTAGGAGGTATGATATCTACCGTTCCCTAAACATCTTTTCAAAATGATTTTATGCTTCCTAAATAAGGAGTTTCTATCTACAGATCTGTAAATAATAAGTTTAGAACCTACCGTTCCCTAAACCAGATATACAAAGAAAAAAAGATTAACAGCATAATAGAATAGCATTAAAAAGTTAAAGAATATATGTACATGTGGAAATACAAATGTCCAGTAACAAATACAATGCAGGATATTGGGCAAGAAATGGATTATTCAATATTAAATTGAATATAAATGTAAAATGTACAGTGGGTATTAGCATCAATAAAACGTACCCGTGCCCGGCCCGGTACTCTTTAACGGACGGCTGCCTCGGCCCGTTAACAGCCGGTTCTCCTCCGGGCTGAGCTCCTGAAGGCGTTCGGCCCAGAGAGGCGGCGTGGCGCCCCGGTGCGGCCGCTCCTCCGGCCCCGGGGGGCCCGCTGGGGGGCCGCAGGATCCGGTCCAGAGACTGAGTCTGGGCCGCGGCACTGAGGTGCTCCCGGCCGTGGTCGGGGGGGTGCACGGTGCTCGGGACCTGGCTCGAGGGGTGGGAGGGGGACGCTGGGAAGGAGTCAGAGGTCATCGACCTGGGGAGAGAAGAGGTGCTTATTTACGGTCTGTCTTTGATCATTTATTACAATTACTTTTTATTCTACACTGTTACTTTACTCCCAGTTTATTCCCCATTTAGCCACTGCAGTGATCCAACCAATTCAATAAACCCACATGCTCTTAATAACCATCTCCAGCAGGGGGCAGCAAAGAGCCTTCCAGAGTACAGCACGTCTGATTTCACCTCCATCACAGGGAGGTGCTTTAAAGGTAGGGTAGGTAAGAACGGAGAAACCAGCTCGAGTGCGCTAGAATTTGAAAGTACGCAACCGGAAAAAATCTTCCCCTTCCTTCAGACTTCCTTCCAGAGCCCCTCCTCCAACACACACGGACGCGCACATGAGCAATGAGGGCACGAGATAAGTTTGTAGCACAGATGGAAGGCTGACAGGCAGGTAGGCCATCCAGTTACTTTAGCCGGCCGGCTAAAATGATTGGTCGTGCTTTTTACAGCGCCACGGCTTCCACTGATGACATTTTTTTAATGTATTTATTGTCAAAGTATTTAATATATTCATTGCTATCGGGATGTTAAGAGCATTCCATGGAATATAACAAAAAGTGTTTCTGAATGTGAATTACCTACCCCACCTTTAATGTGTGTCATTGTGAGAAGTATTTTATACAAATACCTGTAGACTATTTATAGCATTTTAATTCTGAGAAAAAACTAAGTGGATGAAGATTGGTTACAATTCCAATGCAGAAAACGTCACCGTTAAACCCCAATAATATGTCTGTCCCATGAGTGTTTATGTATTCCCAGTCCACAATCTTCTGTTTGTGTGTTTCTGTTTCAGTGTGTGTGTGTGTGTGTGTGTGTACCTGCTATCAGGGGACAGGGACCCCTCTGAGGACATGCCGTGGTAGGGGGAGGGGGTGAGGCGGGCGTCTGGTCTGAACTCTTTGTCGTAGGCCAGGACGTTCCACTCCTGACGGCGGTTACGAGCCTTACGCACCTGAAGAGAGTCACAAAAAAAGGCGGGAAAGGTAAATATTTCTCACTGGAAGAATAAGACAGGAATGAATAATGTAAGTGATGATGACATCTTGTGGTTAAGTGTGCTGCTGTATCCTTTTAACTGTGGTCTCCACTTACTCCACTAACAGGCACCGAGTGTCTCATCGTATTTAATTGAATACATTGATTTAATAAGCTTTTATTAAGGATGGTTTAAGAGTGATCTCCATGCTGGCAAAGGTCTCCTCTCTTCTATTCTATTACACAGATTTCAAGAAGCTATTTCTTTGGTCCAAATGCCTGAACACATGATTTTAACCTGTAATTGCTGCAGTCATGAGTTTTTCAAACACGAAACTAAGGTAATATTCAATAAGAGGTTGAAAAGTGCATTTTTAAACATGTTTTTTTCATTCCAAGGAGATCTTGTTTTGGGTCTGGTTGTCATTTTGTGTTTGTCAGCCACATAACAGAAAAACTATAGACCAGATTTGTATGAAACTTAGTGGAAAGGTGAAGCATGGGTCAAGAGAGAAGACATTACATTCAAGAGTGAGTCTGAAGCATGGAGCTGACACACACATTATTTTCCACTGCAACATGCTCTTAAAGATTAGGAAAGGCAGTCTACAGGTAGTGTCAGAGTGTGTGTGTGTGTGTCATCACTGACCTTCTTCACCTCTCTGCTGGGGTCCTCCACCTGCTTCTGCTGCTCCTGCAGGAGAGACGAGGCAGACAGACGGAGAGAAAGTTAGTTATTGATTATTGATCAGTGTGGGTCAGAGGAAGGACCCTGTCACCAGCTCTTTCCACACACACACACACACACACACACACACACACACACACACACACACACACACACACACACACACACACACACACACACACACACACACACACACACACACACACACACACACACACACACACACACACACACACACACACACACACACACACACACACACACACACACACACACACACACACACACACACACACACACACACACACACACACACACACACACACACACACACACACACACACACACACACACACACACACACACACACACACACACACACACACACACACACACACACACACACACACACACCTTAGTACTGAAATGCAAACAATGGCTATTTTTGAGCTTACATTTATATTTTCCTGCCCGTTTCTTACCCAAATTCCTCTATAAAAGTGAGTGTGTGATGTGTGTGAGGGTGCAGGGGTGCATGGGGGGGGGTTTAGGGGTTTAGGGGTTAAGGGTCTGGGTTGTCTTACAGAGATGGACAGGGGGCTCCTGGGTGGGGCCTGTCTGGAATGGGGCCTGTCAGGGTGGGCCGGACAGCCCTATGGAAACATGGGAGAGAAAGAAGCTTAGACTGAGGAGGGAGAGAGGGGGGGGGGGGGTCTTTGAGGCCAGAGAACTCTATACATTAGAGAAAGAAGAAGAAGAAGGAAGGAGTAGATCCTCCATCTTTGTGGGAGATTTTATTCAGTTTCCAGGTTGAAAAGGAGGGAACATAAACACGTGAGCAGCATTACATTAAACAGACATATTGACATTTAACATTTTGTCACAATCACAAATCCAGCCTGTAGCATGTGTTTAATGACATACACATTTGGGACAACTTTTCTCCAACATGCACTCACAAACACACATGACCTCCACACACACACTGATGTATACACACAGTCGTACACACAGTCGTACACACAACCGCACACACACCTTCTGTCGCCTCTTCTCCTTGCGCTTGTCCTCGGTGGCCTGCAGCATCTTCTCCTTCCACAGGATGAAGAAGTACGAGGGGTCGGTGTAGAACTTCAAGGCGTCCTTCTTGTCGTCCCTGTAGAGAAAGGGGGACAAAGTGGGTTGAAAACAAGGAGCGGCATGACGTAAGATGGAAAGAAAATGGAGCAGGAGAAATAAAACCTTATTTGATAAAAAAAATGTAAGATAAAATACTACATGTACTACTTTTACGATTTTCAAAATGTGGGGCAAGTTTTAAAAGAGTTTTCCAATTTTGAATTATAGTCAAGGCATTCGATAGGCTAAGTGCTACATTAGCATGGTAGCTAATTCACATCATAGATTGTGATGAACCCAGACAACTAAGTAACTTACATTATTATTAATGTAGTCATTTATGAAGATGGAGCATCAATCGCAATTCAAAATAACCTAAAATGAAGTGGGAGCAATGTAGGTCTTACAATTTTCGTCATAGTTAACATTAGCTCGGCTCATTAGCATGGATAACTAGCATGTTAGCTTTAGCAAGGTACAAGTTGACGCTTCCTGATTAGCTTGTTCTCATCGACAGGTTTCTGCTGAATATTTCATCGTTGATCGTTCACACCTCAATATTTCTTAAACGAATAAAGAACATGAATATCAAACATGTTTTATATAATAATTATCTTACGTAGTCAATAACATTAGGATGCTGTGTGTAAAGCCTCAAGGGAGATCATGTGTTCGGCTCACTGACTGCGTTAAAGCGACTTTGAGCATTAGGAAAAGCGCTATAAAGATCCTACGTATTATTACCTGTAGGAGCTGAGGATGTTGAGTGGGGGGGGTTTGTCGCAGCGATGGTACATCTCCACCACGGGGTTGGAGACGGAGGACCTGGAGACCACCTGCTGGTCCTGGATGGTGCTGCTCTTAAAGGCCTTCCTCATGTTGATGTCCTGCAGGGAGACTGGGAGGAGCGGAAAGAGAGAGAGATTTAAAGGTCACCTATTATGCACTTCTTCATGTCTCCTCTACATCAACATGTGTCCCCTCTTCTTCATGTCTCTTCTACATCAACATGTGTCCCCTCTTCTTCATGTCTCTTCTACATCAACATGTGTCCCCTCTTCTTCATGTCTCTTCTACATCAACATGTGTTCCCTCTTCTTCATGTCTCTTCTACATCAACATGTGTCCCCTCTTCTTCATGTCTCTTCTACATCAACATGTTGTCCCCTCTTCTCCATGTCTCTTCTACATCAACATGTGTCCCCTCTTCTTCATGTCTCTTCTACATCAACATGTGTCCCCTCTTCATTCATGTCTCTTCTACATCAACATGTGTCCCCTCTTCTTCATGTCTCTTCTACATCACATGTGTCCCCCTCTTCTTCATGTCTCTTCTACATGTGTCCCCTCTTCTTCATGTCTCTTCTACATCAACATGTGTCCCCTCTTCTTCATGTCTCTTCTTCATCAACATGTGTCCCCTCTTCTTCATGTCTCTTCTACATCAACATGTGTCCCCTCTTCTTCATGTCTCTTCTACATCAACATGTGTCCCCTCTTCTTCATGTCTCTTCTACATCAACATGTGTCCCCTCTTCTTCATGTCTCTTCTACATGTGTCCCCTCTTCTTCATGTCTCTTCTACATCAACATGTGTCCCCTCTTCTTCATGTCTCTTCTACATCAACATGTGTCCCCTCTTCTTCATGTCTCTTCTACATCAACATGTGTCCCCTCTTCTTCATGTCTCTTCTTCATCAACATGTGTCCCCTCTGTGGAAAGAGACTCTGAAAGTTTCAGGAACAAAGATTCTCTCTCTTTTTGATCCATTTCTATAAAAACCTGTCTGAAAATGAGCTGATCAGATTTTGGCCACTTTATGATGTCATAACGATGTTTTGTCTTGTGTAACCATTAGCCAATCACCAACCAAGGGTAACCGCCCCCCCCCCCCCTTATCACCATTGAATCTCCTCCTAGTAGCACCAATTGAGTTCTTTGTAACCAAATGTCTCTCAGAGGGGCGTGGGGAGGGGCTCCTTATTTTCATCTAAAGTAACAGACAGAGAATCAGCACTTTGGAAACAGGGCTGAAACAGAGGGGATTATGGGTAATGCTGCAATGATCTGTTTGGTGTTTCAGCCAATCAGAGACAGGTTCTGGATATATCTGAGACCTGTAATATATTGATGAAAAACAGTGTAATAGGGGACCTTTGAGATCAAGTAAACAACGAGACAGTGAGGTCGAACAAAAGGCAGATTTGTTTTCTGCGTATCATTGACACAGCATTTGTGAAATAATCCCTGAAAACAGCTGTTTTTTTATAACTCGTCGGATTAGCAGCTTAATCCTGGATGTGCAGCGCTGCCCTCTGATCAAGTCAGGATTTATGGGAATGAACGATCTGTTGTTGGTGCACATATCATCCAGGGCTACTTAGATTTAAAGTGTTATCCCACCGCATAGACAGTTTGAGATTAAATACAATTAAAACTTCCATGCAGGGTATAACAGATGTCAAATAATGATTTACGTTATGTTCAGTGGCTGTAATGTTGATATTTACCAACATCCTGGACATTCAGCAGGTAGTAGGGAAATTAAATTTATGAAATGAAAAATGCAGGAAAACAGTTATTTTGTCGATGCAGAAAAATAAAGTACATCTTGTTTTATCTACCTATTGAATATTTGAGCACATCATTCTTTGTGAAAAAGCAAAAATAGGAAATTAGATTTGAACAATTTAGTCACACACTCTTGGGTGCCAGCTTAAATGCAAAAGTGCAGTCTAGGAATATCACACTGTCGAGCCTTGGACCTGGAGATTTATGTGTTTATGGATTTTTTGAAAGGCATTCTGGGAATGTGGGAAATTGCTTACAGGAGCAGAAGAACAGGCGATAAAAAACTACGAGTTCTGACAGAAAATGAGGACATTTCATGACAGAAATGACTAGTCCTGGGGCCCACTTAACATCAACGTCTCCTTTAATACAGATATTGAATGAATTGTATGCTCTAATCATAATTATATAAAAGGATGGTTCAGGTTTCTCCCACAATAATAGGAGGAAACAGGAAATAAAAACCCCTGTATGTGCCTGTAAATCCTTATAATAACAACACACACACACAGACAGCATACACACTATATGACCAAATACACAGGCGATAATGGGACAGCAGGGGCAGATTAGTGTCAGAGCTTGTTGCACCAGCTTAACACACACAGCAGCAGTAACAAGAGGTGTGTGAATAATATAGCATGTGTTTTTTTAGTAAACACATTTTCTTGCATGTAATTAATTTAAGTGTTCATTTGGAACTAGGTGATAATTGGATTTGTCTACATAGAAGAGAGATAGCATGTGTGAGATAGAAAAGACATGTGTGTCAATCCCTTAACCCCACACACACACACACACACACACACACACACACACACAACACACACACACACACACACACACACACACACACACACACACACACACACACACACCACACACACACCCACACACACACACAACACACACACACCACACACACACACACACACACACACACACACACACACACACACACACACACACACACACACACACACACACACACACACACACACACACACACACACACACACACACACACACACACACACACACACACACACACACACACACACACACACACACACACACACACACACACACACACACACACACACACTTATAGTGTGTCAGTGTGACATATGTTTGCTACCACTGATTTACTTGACATATGAACTGGGTGTGTGTGTATCTGTGTGTGTGTGTATCTGTGTGTATCTGTGTGTGTGTGTGATGAACGCAGTTATTAACAGCGTCAGGAAAAAAGGAGGATGTTAGGACTAACCTCTGACGGCGAATTCCTAAAAAACAAGCGAGCGATTGGCTGTTTGATCTCTGTGTGTGTGTGTGTGTGTGTGTGTGTTTCTGCAGTCAGCACACACTCCTGTCTGCTCGCCGTTTGATCATTCCTTCCTAAGCTTCCGTCCCTGCAGCCAAATTAATAATCCACAAAACTAGCAGCTAATGCAACTTTCATTCACACACATCTTCAAAGAGTCCTCTAGCTCACCCCCCCCACACACACACACACTCTATCACCTCTCACTTCGTGTCCTCCGTCTCTCTTCCATCTCATTCTAACATGTTGTGTTACTGCTAATAACCAGATGAATGTATCACAACGTCTGACTTTAACATGTACGTGGTTGCTTTAATAATCATTTCAACGTCTGGGAGGAGGTGCAGCACAATACAGGAAGTAGAAGGCAGCGTGTTGGATGAATGAATATCAGTTTCCAACAGATGCTCTGTTAGTGGGGGTGTCGTTGTGTGCGACGCATCATTCCTTTCCCGTGAGTGGAGTTCACGTGAAGGTGTGTTTTTGAACAGAAGCGATTCAAATCAACAACCAGAGAGATAAGAGTGGATCTCTGAAGCTAATATGGTCTAACTTCCCTACACTATATGTGATGTGCTTTTAAAGAGACCTTTTACTACTTGTTCAATAACGATTTCACATTTCGTGCATAAACAGCCATTCATATTTATTATATATTTTTTTAAATGGCATTTTTTTCACATTTTAAATGCAAAAAAAATGAAAAAACGCTTTTTAGGCGCAAATCATAAGTCAGGAAAGACTTGAGATATTTATTGTCCTTCCCTTTCCTTGTTACTTTTCCTTCCTTTCTCTCCTCCTTCCTTTGTCATTTTCTTCTCTTCCTTCCATCATTTCCTCTTTCAGGTGTAACTTTACAACCCTTTCCTTCTTCCTAGACCCTTTCACCGTCTCTTTTTCGTCTTTCATTTCATTCACCATTCCTTCCTTCCTGCCTTCATTTCTTTCTTCCATCCTTCCCTCACTCATTCACGGTTTCATTTGCCTGCTAGCTTGAAGAATCACAGAAAGAAGGGAGGAAGGAGAAGGCAGAGAAAGAAGTGGTAGTGAATGTGTGGGGGATGGACAAATTGCTTGTGCGTAGGAGGAAGAAGAAGCGTGGTAATGAACGGAGGAGATGAGGAGTGGGAGAGGAGAATAGGGCTGAGGACTGCTGAGCTTTTCCTTTTCATCGCCGTCTGTGCAGCTTCCTCTGAAGCTCTGTCTGAGGCGCCGCGCTGCAGAATGACTCGGCAATATTAATAAGGAGGGGGGAGAGAGAGGGAGGAAAGACATGGAGGCAAGAGGAGATTACAAGTGGGGGAGAGAGATTGGAAGTCAAAAAAGGAGTGATTTAAAGAAAGCAAAAAGGGAACGAGATTTAAAGAAGTACTGGAAGGAGGCAGGAAAGGAAGAAGAGAAAGAGTAGGAGATGGTTTGGGAGAAAAAGAGATATAAGAGAGAAGGAATCATTATACAAAAAGATGGAGGATAATTAGACGAAGTAAGGATGAAAGGAAGGACAGAGGGAGACGTGAGGATGATAACAAGAGAACTGGAAGTAGTCAGAGAGGGTGAAGAAAGGAGACAATTGGGGAGATGGATAAGGAAGAAATAATATATAAAAGAGAAAGAGGGAAAAGCACTAAGCTTTGAGGTTTCTCATATCTCCCTTTTAAGTTGATTTTGAGCCTCTAGGGCAGGGGTGGCCAAACCGCGGCTCTCGAGCCGCATGCGGCTCTTTGCCTAGTTTCATGCGGCTCTTCAGTTCATATCGAATTTTATGTGTGAGTTTGGGGGAGAGACACTGACTCTGTCCTGACTAGTGTTGCACGGTGTAACGATACTTGAAAGGTATACCGCGATACTCTGCCGTTAAAAACGTTACGATTCCTCCGTTTCATTAGTATCGGTACTTTAAGAATGACGGGGGAAAGTACTCCGGTGAGAAAGCGCCGTTTCAATAAGAGCCGTGTGTTCAGCGCTCTGCTTCCACTCCCTGCACTGCAGCCGTGCCTGCAGTCCCGCCCCTCTCAAGCACGCTCTAAGTCCCTCCCCTCTCAAGCACGCTCTAAGTGCCTCCCCTCTCTCATGCACGCGCTAGCTGCAAGAGCATTTGAGAAAACGAGAAGCATGGTTGCAAGTGGGAGTGCAACTGCCGCTGCGCCTCGGCTTGTTGACAAAAAAGACGCCAGAAGCGAAATTTGGAAGTATTTAGGGAAACCTATCGTTGATTAAACACTATCAAGTGTTTCCCCTACCATTGTCTTGGAGGGGCGCTGCGCCCCGCCAACGGAGCCCCGCGCCCCCCCTGAAATTCAAGGTGTATATGTAGCACCAAATTGCAAATAATCTATGACTACTGTCACTTTTCACATTGAACATGTGCTCTTTTATTAAATAAACGCTTTCAGTTTAAGTTGTGGGTTTAGTGTTTTTGACCCTAAAAACACTGATGCATTAATCAATAACAATAATCCACAGCTCCTCTCTGCTCCAGAGGATTTAAAAAATATATATCCCAATGCCACAAAAATGCATCAGTGACGTGGTTGAAATCTTGTCTCCAGAAAACAAAAAACTGAAACAAGCGGTATCAGTGACTGTGTGTTTGATGTGGCTCTTTGCAGTAACAGAGAAAAAATGTGGCTCTTAACCTCTGACTGGTTGGCCACCCCTGCCCACCGTACTCTGCTCTGAAATCCTTCTGTGAGTGGTGAGTGGATCATCACAGTCTGTGTGTGTGTGTGTATTACTGCATTAAAATAATTGACCTTCAGAGATAGTGAGATGCTTAATGATGGAGATAGCGATCATGGCTCACACACACACTGAGCGACATATGAGTGTGTGTTTTTCTGTTCACTAAACACTCAGTAGTACTCAAACCCACACACAAATTGAAATGGAGATAGTGATAAAGGAGACAGACGTGAAACAAAGTTGACACACACAACAATCCTCAGGCACAAGACATTTAAAGGACACACACACACACACACACACACACACACACACACACACACACACACACACACACACACACACACACACACACACACACACACACACACACACACACACACACACACACACACACACACACACACACACACACACACACACACACACACACACACACACACACACACACACACACACACACACACACACACACACACACACACACACACACACACACACACACACACACACACACACACACACACACACACACACACACACACACACACACACACACACACGACGTGATGAGCTTTCTTTATTACTAATTAAAACCAGTGATGGGAATTATGGCTCTTTGAAGGGAGCCGGATCTTATGGCTCCATTCTTTTCCGAGAGCCGTTCAAAAAAGGGGGCGGGGTTAATTCTGCAGGTCACCCTTGAAAAAGAGATCTTTTGATCTCAAGGGGCTTTCACCTGGTTAAATAAAGGCTACAAACAATAGGTTTATCAGCGAAAGAATCACCAGGATAATGATTGACTGTATTGCCAGAAATCTACTTTTACTCACAGAAAATGTATAACTTGCTACATCTCTCAGCCAGACTACTCCTCAAGCAGCATGCGTTATGCCGTCATCATCTACGGCTAATGTGCATTCAGAAAGCAAGTTCCTGTGAAGGCGAGTGGATTTATGGCAGGCAGCGAACCAACGATAAAAAGAACGGCTCTCACCAAGTACGACTCGGTTCCCTTGGTTCGTACCAAAAAGACGCTCAAAAGAATCGGATGGTTGGCGAACATCACTAATTAAAACTCTGGTCCTCACCCTCCTCCACGGTGGAGTCGAGCTGCGTCACCTTCACGGCCAGCTGGTCCACCCTCTCCTGCAGGCTGCTCATCCTCAGGTAGAAGCTGTTGGCCTCGTTGAACAGCTCTCCGAAAATGTCTTCTGCATGGCGACCTGGACGGAAACACAGACACACATATACAATTACATTTAAAATAGTATACAATATTGCATTCTGGGGGTTCAGTCACTGGGAATGTCTTTAATTATGCAGCAGGCATTACGGTTTAATGGGACTAACAGAAATGACTATAATGCCCCTTTTACACCAGCGCTTTTTCAGCTCCGGCTCGGAGCTGGAGCTGAAAAGCGCCGGTTTTTCCTGTTCACACCGCAGCGGCGCCGGCTCTTAGCTTCGGAATCCGGTTCACTTCCAGCTCCAAAAAATTGTCGGTCTAGAGGCAAGAGCTTCGGAACTAAGAGGTGGCGTCGCTTACGTTTCTCTTACGTCGAGGCGTGCAGGAAACTAAACCCTCCTCCCCTGAACATGGGTCGACTGTCATGCCTGCCTACAAGCAGTAGTGCTTAATAAACACACTTTATAAAGTCAGGCAACACTAACCAGGCTTCGTGTGATTCTGTTTATTTGTACCTTACTTTGACCATCCGTTCACTGTTATTGATCATTGTGGGGAGAGGCAGACGTGTTGTTTTGTATTATAGCAGCTATCGGATGGAATCAATACATGGGCTGCACAGGTTGTCGTGTCCGACTATCACAAGTAGAATCATAATAAAAATACGCCGGTAAAACGTGCCTGTAGAAAACGGTTTATGCCACAATAGGATAGCAATAGCAAGTAGTCAGTTTAGCTTCGGTTGCTATGCTAACATCACCCATTTTATACCAGAGAAACTTTCATAACAGCGTTGTGATACCAAACAGCGTCAATTCAGACTGACACACATTCACTTAGGCTAAGGGGAACTGGGGATATGTATCAGCTGCTTGTGTGAGTCGGACAGTGAATACTTTAGAGCGGCCGCAGCAGTGTGAGCTAACCGGGAGCTAACGGAGGAGAATAAACTCCCGTGGAAGAGCAGCCAACACTGCAGCGGTCGGTAAATGCCGCAGAAACACATTAATAAATAATGAACCACGGCACTCTGGAGCAAAGTATAAGGAGAAGTCGTTATTTAATTGAATCTGGTTTCGTGTGATTAAAAGCAACACGATCATCGACCCGACGCAGTTGTTGTTGTTGTTGTGAGCGCCGTAATGCCGTTGGGGAGCAAATCAGCGATGTAAACGGTGACGTCATGACGCAGCAGCGGCAGCACCAGTCGGGTGCTGGGCGGTGTGAACAGAGCGGGAGCAGAAAAGGGAAACCGGAGCTGAACCAGAAAAGCTCTAGCTCGGAGCTAGAAAGGGAAAAGCGCTGGTGTGAAAGCCGCAAGACATCCCTTTTCATTGAGTTACAGTTAGAAAACTGTCCAAACATATTCAGATTAAACAGGAGATGATTGAAATGCACCGAGATGGATGTCTGTTGTGTGTGTGACAGCATTACAAATATTTTAATGTATGTACTGAGAAGCCATCCTCAATAACACAGCCACCTCCAAGCCTAATGAAATGCACACACATATAAACATGCACACATCTCTCTGCCTCTAAACCAATGAGATGGCAGATGGAGTCGAGGCAGCGCATCTCTCAGAGCTGTCGCTGAATTTCATTTAGATGCCGACTGTTAATCTAATTTAAACAGGACCTGTGTTTCACTGGATAATCGCTCGTCTGGCACAAGTGTGTGCTCTGCAACTCAACTTGGAGGTGTACTGAGATGAGTTTGAAATGCTAGTGTGGACAGGAGGCTTTCGTATTTAAGCATATGTAGTATTCTCCAAGATGAAGTCAGGTTAGTAGACAATGTTACAAAATCTAGTCATTCAAGATAAAGGAAATTCATTCATAAGTTTAGGGCTGAACACAAATAGCATTTATTTTGACTGATACATTTTGCATCGTTATTCTCATTTTCATTAAAAGATATATTAAAATGATGACTCGACAATACTTAACTAAAATGGAACACATTCAAAAAATATTGTGCTTCCTGCGATATGAATATTGCTTCGTCCATATTGTGATTTCAGATATTTCACTGAGCCCCCTGTGTGTGTTACACTGATACTCACTGAGGCTGCCCAGCTGTTTGATGATGGCTGCCAGAGTGCTGTTGGTCACACACTCCAGCTCACTGGTCACCCCGTCAGGCAACGCCCCGCGGCAGAGGTGCCGGGGCTCGATGTTCCTCTTCACCAACGGCATGCTGGTCTACGTCTGAGGAGAGAGAGAGATGATTAGTTAAAGGTCACCTATTATGCAAAATCCTCTTCTTCATGTCTCTTCTACATCAACATGTGTCCCCTCTTCTTCATGTCTCTTCTATATCAACATGTGTCCCCTCTTCTTCATGTCTCTTCTACATCAACATGTGTCCCCTCTTCTTCGTGTCTCTTCTACATCAACATGTGTCCCCTCTTCATCAACATGTGTCCCCTCTTCTTCATGTCTCTTCTACATCAACATGTGTCCCCTCTTCTTCATGTCTCTTCTACATCAACATGTGTCCCCTCTTCTTCATGTCTCTTTCACATCAACATGTGTCCCCTCTTCTTCATGTCTCTTCTACATCAACATGTGTCCCCTCTTCTTCATGTCTCTTCTACATCAACATGTGTCCCCTCTTCTTCATGTCTCTTCTTCATCAACATGTGTCCCCTCCTCTTCATGTCTCTTCTTCATCAACATGTGTCCCCTCCTCTTCATCAACATGTGTCCCCTCTTCTTCATGTCTCTTCTACATCAACATGTGTCCCCTCCTGTGTAAAGAGACTCTGAACGTTTCAGGAACAAAGATTCTCTGTATAAAACAGTATAATAGGGGACCTTTAAATATCCAAAACTGTATCACATGCTGTCCGTCTAAATTGCACTCTGACGTTTTGTCATCATTTAAACCCCCTGTAGGAAAACCACCATTATCGCTCCTCGCTGACATAGGAGAGGAAGAAGAAGAGAACAGGTGGCTGAGTTGAGAGTCCTGACCTGACAGAGACGGAGGTGTCATGTCCGCCGCGGGGTTTCAGCTGCTCATCACACCGCTTAATGTCAACGCAAGAGCCAAGAGCCAAATGAGCCGGAAACTTTTCTAAACGTTGCTAATGAGCCGGAGGAACCGAGAGAGAGAGAGAGAGAGAGAGAGAGAGAGAGAGAGAGAGAGGAGAGAGGAGAGAGAGACAGGAGACAGAGACAGAGACAGAGACAGAGACAGAGACAGAGACAGAGAGAGAGAGAGAGAGAGCCGGAAACTTTTCTAAACGTTGCTAACGAGCCGTTTGCTGCCCAGTCCTAAAACCTGTATTTGTGAGGGGCCACAAGGGAAGCGCTGCTTATACAGTAGGTCCTGTCATATGATGTGAGACGTGAGCCAAGTGACAGAGAGGAGCTCCAATTATTAGAGAAATGGATGATAAATGGTAAAAGAGTATATTTCATACTCAATAGAAGCCGATTGCTGCCCAGTCCTAAAACCTGTATTTGAATTAAATCATTTGATAACATCACATGGATACTTTATCTATTAAACTATTGACGTTGGCTCTATTGTAGAATATAATAAAAAATATTTAAATATATAAAATAACAATGTGCAATAAGAGATCTAATATTTATATAAACATCAAGAGTTCATGTAAAATAATAAAATAGACAAGATGAAAACTTAAAGAAAAATGTGCAATAAAAACAATACAATTATATAAAACTATTTATATAAAGAAAAATGTGCACCATATTAAAATATAAAATATGTTACAATATTCAGTGGTGTTTTAGTATTAAGAGATTACAGCTTAATTACTATAATGCATTATAATCAGTGCTTCTCAAAGTGTGGTCCGTGAGCGCCCCCTAGTGGTCCGTGAGTATATTGGTAACATTTGAAATAAATAAATACATTTAAGTTTTCCGCACTCTCATAAGAATATCTCCGCAATGGAGCGAGGTTACGTTTCACTTTCGATTGCATGACATAGCCCAGCGCAACACCTTCGTCACACATGTTGCCCCTTGTTTGTACCATTTTCAGGCGATTTGTAATCTGTTCTAGAAAAACGATGTGTTTTTGGATATTTGTGGAGTTAGGTGTTAGGAGTGTTTTTGTATTGGTTAGGGGCCTTGGTATGAAAACGTTTGAGAAACACTGCATTATATGAATAATATTGCACGATACACTATTATCAAAAAGCCTTCCAATGAAATCCAATTTAAGTCGATTTTGCATTAAATGTAACCGTAGTTACATTTAACATGCTTTTTGAAGTTATCATCATGACCGACACGGAGAGGAATTGAGGAAGAGGAATTGGATACAAGTGAGGGAGAGCTGCTGACGGACAGGACACAGCTAACTCTAAGTGGGACACGCTCGTTGATGTTGAGAGTGTGTGTGTGCTCACTGTTTGCATACGTGCGTGTGGAAGGTGTGTGTTTACGGGTCAGTTCTCTGGAAATGAGCCGTCCTCACGCTCTCTCCCACGCTTCCAATATAATCTCTGGCACAATGAATACTTCCAGAATGAGAGGAGAACCAAGCCAAGAAAATGGAGGTAAACAAAGGCAAACTCAGTAATTGCTCAAACAAGTGTGTGTGTGTGTGTTCACATGCTCATTAGTGTGTTTGTCCAGACTGAACAACACGTGATAGAAAGTGGCAAGTTTGTCCTCTTTACGTCCCTCCTGCTCTTCCTTCCTCTAATGTGTCCTGACATTCAATTACACAAAAATGTCACATACAGTAGTGCCTTGTCTTAAGCATGTTGCCTGAGAGTGTGTGTGTGTGTGTGTGTATGAGCCAGCTGCAGTAAATAATCCAACACCCCGACTGTTTAATAAAACATGCACGCTGCTCCTCATCGCTGCCCTTCATCTCTTATTTGTCTCCGTTGTGCGACCCCTCCCCACTTTTTCATTCTTTCCGGTGTATTCTCGCTCCACCTGCTTTCATTAATAAATCAGTGAGGGTGGGTATCTCAACTCCTCGGTGAGTATTCCCCATCTAAAGTCGGTAAGTGTGTGTTGCTGTCCGTGTGTGTGAGGGGGATGTTGGTGCGTGAGCTACACACACACACACACACACACACACCACACACACCCACACACACCACACACACACACACACACACACACACACACACACCCACACACACCCACACACATTTACTCGAGTCCTGCATGTACCCTTCACCCAAACCATGAATCCTTTGGATTAATGACGGTAAAGAAATGGACTGAAATGTGTGGAAATACTTTGAGTTAAACATCACAAGAGATCGGGCTGTGTTGCCTTTTGGAAGAGGGGTCTATTATATTTTAAATACTTTTAAATGGAATTTGTCAACCAAAGAGAACAAGCTACTAAACAATGCATATAATTGTCAAACACCTCCTATGTGACAGTTTGGGACATTTATAAGATATCAAATTGCGCTAAGAAGTCCCTCGCATTCACCTATGATAAAAAAAGACAGAGTTTATATTATAAAGTAGGGCTGCTCAATTAATTGTATTTTAATCGCAATTATGAAAACAACATAATCAAAAGAAAACGATTATTTATTTAATTTTTTCAGTTGAGTTATTCTTGAAGTTCAGGGTAATCAACTGTTAAAAACATACTGTTCAACATTTTTTTTTCAACAAATAGATGTTTTCAAAGTAAATGGATAATCGTTTTTAATAATCGTGATATCAATTATTGACTCAAATAATCGAGATTATGATGTTTGCCATAATCGAGCAGCCCTAAAGTGCAGCAGGGTCAAGGAGGAGAAACTATCAACCTCTTTTGACATGCATGTGATCTTTACTGTAGTTACCAGCACCCATCTTTAAAATCTATATTATAACCTCCTGGGAAATGATGAGATTAGGACGATAAGAAATGTCACTAACTTCAATTACTTTGCAATAAATGTGAAATCCTTCCCACAGGAAATGAAAAGCAAAGACCTGCAGACCTGTGAGAATGAAAACAGATCCTCTCCAGAAGCTAAAGGTAACACACTGTAAGTCCTGAAATCACATTTTTGGATGAAGCAATTTTTTTTTTTTTTTGGGGGGGGGGGAAGAGGAAGATTAACGAGAGCGAGGAGGGGAGCCAAAAAGTGTTGTGGAGCCATGGGAACGCTGTCATGGCAACGCTGAGGAATCCGCTCCGCTTGTTGAAAGTGGCACTCAGGCGCAACACTCTGAAAATAGAGAGACGCAGAGAGAGGGAACGAGAGGAGAGAGGTAAAAGGGAGGAGGGGGGGAGGCAGGACACCCCCGTGAGAAACTACAACTACCAACTGTAAAAGTGAAGCGGGTCTCAGGAGGATTTAGTGCCGTCTGACACCGTAGACAACACCGCAGCGTTTAGGGAACGGAGACAGCAACACAGGATCTTTTCAGGAACCCAGAAAGTAAAGTTCAGATCAAAGATTTATAACCAGAGGAAACTTTAAGGACACTGCAGAGAGAAGTGCACAAATCATCTGTCAGAGGCATGTTGAGAAGAGAAGGAAGCATTCTGCAGTTTGTCGCATTGCGTCACTAGTTGGCACATACTATAAAGCTAACAAAACTATTTCATCTTCTAACAGCCTTGACAAGTAAAACAAAAAGTTATTTTACAAGGTAAAGCCCTTTCTAAGTTTAAAAATGTGCAGACAGTAAGACAACGAGATCAATATCACTCATATAAATTCAGGCCTAGCGATTAGGTGTTATGTAGATTTCAGATGTTTAACCAAAAGCACGTTGAAGCAAAAAACGTTGACAAGACAAGGGAAGTGATAACATGCTAATTCATTTCCTGGTTTTCGCACTAATTCAAGCATTAAAGTCCTTATTAAAGTCATAATCAGATACACAGGAACAAGCTAAATGTATGAGATACGAGTAGAGCCTAAAACACAACTTTGAATGAGATAACTATCCAGGAAGTGACATCTCAATACACAGCCAAACTTTTAATAATAGGGGACCTTTAAATACATTGGTTATGTTCTGCTGAAGACTTCCAGTGGCTGAGCTATACATTAACACAACCATTACATAAGAGATCATTTTAGAGATTATTACAGGATCCACTTCCTGAGCGCAGGATGCCTTCACAGCACACAGATGGCCATGACATCACTCATCGTCTGGGAAACCGTCCACAGTTCAGCTCTTGGTCACGGCTGTGTGTAACACTCCTCTGAATCTCACTGGCTGATGGTATATAACGACAGTAA